TTGACAATATACACTTTTCACGCAAACCGAGGTTTACTTCCACCTCCCCCCTGCTTTCGGGGGAGGTGCAGTAGTTCCTCTCTCACTTACGTGTGTACTGTTTATACACACACAATTGAAGTATTATTTAAAAATTTATATTAACTTTCCACGCATGAAAAGTTTATGCATACACTTTTCACGCGAACCGAGGTTCACCTCCACCTCCCTCCTGCTTTCAGGGGAGGTGCGGTAGTTTCTTCCTCGCTTACTGTTTATACACACACAATTGAAGTATTATTTAAAAATTTATATTAACTTTCCACGCATGAAAAGTTTATGCATACACTTTTCACGTGAACCGAGGTTCCCCACCTCCCCCCCGCTTACGTGTGTACTGTTTATACACACACAATTGTGTTTGAAGTATTATTTAAAAATTCATATTAACTTTCCACGCATGAAAAGTTCACGCATACACTTTTCACGCGAACCGAGGTTCATCCCCACCTCTCCCTTGTTTTCGGGGGAGGTGCGGTAGCCCCTCTTCCGCTTACGTGTGTACTATTTATACACACACAATTGAAGTATTATTTAAATTTATATTATATTTATTTTGAGCTTTTATACTGCATATCTCGAAAACTAAAGCAGTTAGCCCTATAAGACCTATATAATTTTTTGTTCAGCGTAAAAAATACTACCAGAAACCACAGTCAAATCAAGGGGCCCTAGTTATCGTGTTTGTGCCGACATGGGTGTGGTGTACGCTGTTCAAACATGTACGTCGCTTCTGGCCGATCAGTTGTTCTCCAAAGTCGCGCATACTTGAAGATTCATTCTTCGTCGTTTGCGATTCAAACTGAGCCGCGGCATTTGTCGAGTCTTTTAAATATCGAACCATCAATATCGAATCTCTTGAAAGATTCGAAAGGTGTCAAGCAATTGTATCAAGTAATTGTAATTTTAAAAGCGTGTTTAAGGATATGATTTCCGCTTCGTGAAAGAAGCAAAACCGTGATATATGTACACTCTGAAATCAATCTTATAAATTTCTAGAAAATTTACGACGTTCTTTAATATACTTAGGCTTTTTTTTGGCATTTGATCTTAGATCTTAAGTTTCTAATCAACGTTTACATTTAAAAATTTTATCGAGATAAATTCTTGAATTTAAATGATGAACAATATTTATGCACTTATTTGTTGTAGATTCTTTCGACAGCATGTAATTCAAAAGTTACTGACGACGTCTCGGCGTACTCGAAGAAAAATTGCAATATAGCTGGGAATTCATAAAATCCCAAGTTTGCGTCACGTGTTAAATTCCGCGTATATTCCCGACGCTGCGCTTATATACGCAAACAGTTTTCGAAACAACCTGAGAAACGAGACTCGATCAATCTCGCGCGGCAGATGGCTCGTTATCAGCGGCCAGTTTGAAAAAGCCAGTACGCGCGGCTCTACGGCTTTAGACGCGTTTATTCGCGACAGCAGGCTGTAGAACGCGGGAAACGCGCCGTGGGATATGTGCCGAACACGATGATTTTGCGCAGTGCTCGCGCGCGCGCGTGTTGATTGCCGCCGCGCGTATATATACATACAACAGAAATAGCAAGCGGCGTACTCTCACGCTTTTGTCCTACTTATCCGGCGATTAGCTGTGACTTCCGCTTTCGTCCGACTCGGAAGACTACGCTTCCCCAAGGTTGCTTCGTTCGATCGCGCGCGCTAAAGAGATTTTTCTTTAGAATTAAACCGAACAACACTGATCACTGCTTTCAGGCCGCTTTTTGCGTTCAGAATTTATAGGGTCGCTTTACGTCGGAAAATCTCTAGTCCTTCGATCATTTCCGATCGTAACTTTTCAATGCCATCAACGTATTTTTTTCGAAACTTATGTAAAATTATGTTTTTCAGATATTCACCCATAATTCTGAGGTAAAGTTTAATTTAATTTAATTAAATGAGGAACCAAGCTCCCCCCTATATATCAAATACTGTAAAGTGATTAAGGGCCAATAAATGAGCAAAAAAGTTAAAAAATTAAATTAATATATAGGGTGTCCCATTTAAAACAGTACGGTCGAATATCTCATAAAGGAGGGAGTTGATAAAAAAGTATGTCAGATGAAAGTTGGGTAAAGTGTATAAAAGATCAAACCTCACCGATTTTGTCACCACTTAAATATATTGTAGGGGAGGTCTTTCTGAGTAATTTTATATAAGAAAAAAGTGGGGGACGGCATTGGTTTAGAAGAAATAGTAAATTGAAGTTTCACAATTTTAATACTTTTTTTAGGCATTATAAAGTAACATTAGTTCTAAGAGAAATAATTTGCTGATATATATGTATAAACACACTGAGAAAAAAATATTGAAATCCAAAAAAAATAATTATTAGGTATGACTCCTAACAGCTTTATTTTGCTAAATATGACACACATACCTATTTATTTAGGAATTAGATATTTTTACTTAATTTAAATAAAAATATATAATTTTAAATGAACATGTGTATTATATTAAGTAAATAAAGCTGTTAGGAACCAAGACAATGTGATGGAAACATTTAAGAAGTTGAAACAGATTTACAAAGATCAAGTTCTATCCCGGGCACAATTTTTAGGTGGCGGTAAAATTGTGAAGATGGATTCTGGAGTGGACTACCAATGACATAAACAATTTGGTGATTCAAATTTAATTTAATTGATCGCCAATTATTTTCACTGTCAACTTTTTAAATGTTTCTGTCGCGATATCCTGAAATTTGACACAGAATTTTCTGTGTCAAAGTTCGCATTAACACTGCTCGATTTTCTTGTGTTCCATTTTCATGACACGTCACCCAAACATACAGTTATACCTTATACCTGTTAAACAAATGATTGTAGAATCACATGTGTTGTTAATGTTATCAAATTAAAATTTTAACTGTAGGTAGAGTATAAATGTAGCTCTCGGTCTACTGCAGTCTCGTTTTTACAGTGTTACAAGTTGTTGAGATAAAAAATTCAGTCTCATTACTTTTCAGACAGACTACATATTGATTTAGTACACACTAATAGTTTTAATTATTATTATGCAACACGTGCATGCGGAAAGTGCCCCATTACGCACGCTACGCGTGCGTGATAGACCACTTTCCAGGCACTTGCAACATAAAATAGGGAGTGTAAGCCGTGTGTAAAGATGAAAATTCCCGGGTGCGGTTACCGCACTCGCCTTCGGCTCGTGCGTAAACTCCGCAACCGGGAATTTTCATCTTACCTCACTTGTTACACAAATAACTATAATGAAACTGCGTGCGGGAATATCTCATTCCTGCACGGCCTCAAGTGAGAAATCTCTCGCGCGTGCGGAATCGGCCATCCGTCGCCAGATGGCGCGCGCGCGATAGGCCACTTTCCACCCACTTTGTAATATAAAATAGGGTGTGTACCAAGTGCGGGAAGTTGAGAATTGGACACGAGTGCGGAGTGGACGCACGAGCCGAAGGCGAGCCCACCATGTTGAGCCGTTGCCGCGTTAGCGTTAAAACCATGCCTAATATTCGCCGAATATTCAGTTATTTGGCACATGACCTTGCCTAATATTTGTATTCGGTATCGGTTGAACTATATTCGTTGCAATTCTAATTTGTTGTATTTTCTGAACCAATACCGTCCCCCACTTTTTTCTTACGTAGAATTATTCAGAAAGACCTCCCCTATAACATATTTAAGTGGCGATAAAATCGGTGAGGTTTGACCTTTTATACACATTTACCGAAAATTTTATGGTTTGAATAAACGATATATCTTATTAGATTTTGAAATTATTTATAAAAAAAATAGGGGTTTTCATTTAAAAAGCTTAACTTGGGCTCTACCGGACCCAATACGGGCCCCAAATCAAAATCTAATAAGATCGTCTATTGGCCCTCTTCGAATCCTACAACTTTCATCTGACACATTTTTTTCATCAATTCCATCCTTTATAAGTTATTCGACGGTATTATATTAAATAAGACACCTGTATTAACTTCAATACAATAATAAACGTTTCAATTACACCGAGTCTTTATCAACCAAATAGGAAAATTCTAAATTTAAAACTAAATCCGAATAGAGAACGATAAATAAACAATTAATTTAATTAAATCTTTGCTGAGGAAAAATATTTTTATTATCAAAAAGAGCGATACGTCGAATCGTTCAGAATCATAAAATTTGCACTAAATGTATATAAGGAGACAAATGAAGGGCACAGACAGAGGGAAAACGATCAAAGTCTACTTTTTGTCGAAATTGACCTGATCATGCTATCTTATGACATTTTCAAAGAACTTTCATAATTCTTATCTTTTTGATCAAAATCAGTTACAATTCATTTTGGAAATAAGACCGAAAGATCATAGTCCACATGCTTGTGAAAGAATTATCGGAGTCCAACATACAATGTAAACGCTAAGTAAAATATGCATTCCAATATTCACTGCCAGTACTTTTTTTAAATAGCTTTCTAAAGTTTCTAAGATATCTGATGTCTTGAAATAAAAAATTACGTTTTTCTCGAAATTACTCCGGATAGACATTGATCATTTTTCTCCTGTACCCCCTTCAAATACATAATAAATACAATTAAATATCTACTGAGAACATTTAACAATACTTATAATCACGGTCTTGCTTAAGACATCGATTCTTACATCGATTTCTTTGACGCCTGAATATGATGTTCCATTTCCTACATTCCCTGAGAAATCAAGTGCGACTCGCGGCCTTCGGGCGGTATCGAACAGCGCGTAGACCAGCGGAAAAATCCATTCAAGGATAAGAAAACGCTCCGTACATTGCGGCTTTTATGCGTTAATTAAAGGTTTAAGAATAAATAGCGAGGGAAACCCCCTGCTAAACATGATACACACGCGCCGCGCTGAATCAGCAATTCTCCCTGTTGTTCCAGCCGTACGGGCAGACAGAATGCGAGGCGGTAGGAACAAATTTGGGCCCATGTACAAGAGGGACCGGGCGCGGAAGCTGCAACTGATACGTCAACGGCAACTGGCGATCCAGACGATACGCGGCAGTCTCGGAGACCCGACCGGCTATTCGTCCGCGGTCGCGCCCTTGATGCACATCAAGCAGGAGATCCAAATACCTCAAGTCTCGAGTCTGACCTCGTCGCCAGACTCGAGCCCGTCCCCCGCGACCGTGGCCGCGGGCCTGGTCACGACGCAAGCCGGCGGCAGCGGGGCCGGTCAGCACCAGCTGATCGCGCCATCCAGTCAACCCAACATCGGTACCAGTGGCGGCGGTGGCAGTGGCGGTGGTGGCGGCGGTGGTGGTGGCGGTGGCGGTGGTGGAGCCGGTGGAGGTAGCGGCAGTGGCGGAGGCGGCGGAAATCACCTGCACAATCTCAATCCGGGTCTGGACAGTAAACTCTGGGCCGCGAACTCCACCACCCCCGGCACGAAGGTCTTCAACTTCGGCGAACAATCCGCCCAGCCGCATGGCGGGGTGCCGAGCTACGCGCCCAACCCCCCCGTCGCTCTCAAGAGCCCGATGATAAGGGAGTTTTTATTGTCGATCGACGACCGCGAGTGGCAGTCGTCTCTCTTCGGACTGTTGCAAAACCAAACGTATAATCAGTGTGAAGTGGACTTGTTCGAATTAATGTGTAAAGTGCTCGATCAGAATTTGTTTTCGCAGGTAGACTGGGCTAGAAACTCGACGTTCTTCAAAGATCTTAAAGTGAGTATCTCGGGCATCTAGACCGCCGCGGGTCTTTTCTAGAACGACGAACGTCTTCTGTCCCTTTTTTCCCTCCTTTCCTCCATCATCGCACGAATTCGAAATTGTTGCCTTTTTCCACGATATTTTTGATACAAAAGTGAACGAGAGAGGCGTCAACATGTAACGTCATTAGAAGTAACCGCAACGATTTTGTCGAGGATCTCCTCGACGAGAAAAGTTCGTTCTTACCGATAAATAACTCGCTGCCTGGTCTGCTTGGTGCCATGAGCGGGGATGTGAGGTAACCGGCGGCATTACACAATCACTGAATGATTTCAAGCATCGCCTCATATCTAGGTCATAACAAGATACGTTTCTGGGTTATGGCGGTTGCCCCAAAGCGGGACCGCGTTAATTATAAATTGCATACTTCAACCGGTCGTTTTGTAATAACTTTTTATTTTTGCTCCAACACGGCGGATTTGTTAACAACGATGCAAAGCAGATCGAGGCCATTTTGTTGAAACTTTTCGTCGACAATATGGTACACATTGCCGCCTGATCTTCACTGCAGTCTCATTAAAATCGTGTCGCGCTTCTAAAAGAGATTCTTTTTTTAACACTTTTCTATTTCTCTAATATAAATATAAATAGTCACATATACCAACTACATTTTGCGGTTTTTTTCATTTAAAAAAAAAAAAAAAAAAGAAGAAGAAAAAAAAAACATTTTCTTGGTTTAATGAAACATTTGAGACACAACTAATGTTTATCAAATATTTATTTGTAAGTTGCAATTAAAATTTTACAAATAATTATTTATATCTATTTATGAATTCTAATTTTAAATATTTATTTGTAAGTTGCAATTAAAATTTTACAAATAATTATTTATATTTATTTATAAATTCTAATTTTAGCAATTTTCCCATTTATCATACGAATTTTTTTAATTTAGTTAGCTCTGAAAACATTTTATCGTACTATCATGTGATTTTTTTTAATATTAAAGTTTGAATACAAATATCAAATTGAATACAATTACTCTCCATATACCATATATTTTTCTATGTATTTAGTCATTATATCTAACATTTGCACGGCAATGTTATTTGCTAGGTTGACGATCAAATGAAGTTGCTGCAACACTCTTGGTCGGATATGTTGGTGCTAGATCACCTTCATCACAGGTTACACAATAATCTACCTGACGAGACGACCCTTCACAATGGCCAAAAGTTTGATCTTCTCTGTCTCGGCCTACTCGGCGTTCCTTCCTTGGCCGAAACCTTCAGGGAACTGTCCAAGACGCTTCAGGAACTAAAATTCGACGTCCCCGAATATATATGCATGAAATTTCTAATGCTGTTAAATCACGGTAAGTAAAATTAAAAGTCCATCCATGTCTATCTCGTAAGCGACGAGCTTTGAGAGACAACAGGTGATAATTGAGTTGGCAAGATCCACGCGACCATGCAGTCACGTTTTATATAGCTTTCTGCAAAGATCGCATCGCAGAGACCTTTCGCATCAACGATGTAAAATTTATCGTGCATCATAACTTGGTTTTTTGTTCTTTGTTCCACTTTCAAGTAAATACCTCGTTCCAATACCCCATAATATTCAAGTCAAATTTGTATCTTTTACATAAGTGCGTATATTTAATTTGCTGCAGATGTCCGTGGATTAGTAAACAAGAAGCATGTGCAAGAGGGTCACGAGCAAGTTCAACAGGCGCTTATGGAATACACGCTACATCATCACCCATCTGTACTGGTGCGTTTTATCGCGAAATGTTTCCTCTTATACTTGTCTTAAAACGGATTAAACCAGATATTTAATTGTCCTTATTTTTTATCTGTCTAGGATAAATTTAACAAGCTGCTAGCAGTATTACCGGACATTCACGAGGTGGCAACCAAGGGAGAAGAGCATCTTTATCAGAAACATTGTAATGGAGGCGCGCCAACACAAACGCTTCTCATGGAGATGCTTCACGCCAAGAGGAAATGAAACGATCAGTTTTACTTGGTAATTTTTGCCATCGAATAAAAAAGAAGTCTGTTATTACACACACACGCGCGCACACACACACACACACACACACACACACACACACACACGCACGCACGCACACACATGTAATATATATATATAGAAAGTCTTGTTAACGCCCCTAAATCGTGAGACAGAGTGGACCTCAAAGTACCTATTAAGAGCTAAAACGCTGCTAAGGTATCGGACCAAGTAATGGGGCCCTGGTTCATGAAATACCTAGGCATACAAATCAAGTATAGACATACTTTACACACATACACACACACACACAATATATGTATTATAAAGTGTATCTAAATATATAAACACAATGACATATATTTTCTATATTTGATGTTGAAGTTTTAGAGATGTATCCGTGGAGAATTACCCCTGTTAATGGGTATAAGCGCAGGGAAACAGTAAGCAAGATGCCTTGAAAACAGTACAAAGGGTGGTTAACAAAAAATATTGGTCAAAGGGCAGGCAACTTTTGTCTAAATAAGTAAAGCTATTTTTCTAATACTTAGAGGCGAATTTATTTTTAAGCATACCACACTGAAGCCTTGCTCTCACTCGAACGAAATATATCGTACCGCTAAAAGAGAATCAAATTCTCTCTCCAGATCAATCGTGCTTCTGCAAGGGATTCAATGGGCATACTTGAATGACAATGAACTTGCATGTGATATAACATGTGTTTGTCGCACGGCCACCTGGGCATCCTTAGGATTTCCTATAAAGAAAAAAAATCTGCATTTTTGTCACACTTGCACACAGCGGGGCTACTACATTGTAAATACTAGTTAACACATTCCAATTATGTTGTAAAGTACAGATCATGTTAAATATTGTAATTACAATATTTTGTGTATAGTTGAATAATGAAATGAAATAAATATATTTCTGTTGCTTACTTGAGGAAAATCATTAGCTACTTAAATGTCTTCACTAATTTTAGGATCTTATTCATGTATCTTTCTTTATTACTTCTCAAATAGGTGGCGGAAAGGAATAACTACAAATTGCGATATTTTACTATTGTATGTTGTATCGTAATAAAGATTCTGTTTAAGAAATAAAAGAATCATTGGAGCAAGGTTTATGTGGTCCTATATTGTCTAGCAATTAATTCTAAATGCATAAGATAATATTAATCGTATCGCAATTGTTAAATAGAAAAAAATATTTAGTAAATGTTAAGATAGCGATCAAAAGTAGTAATTTTTCACTAAATATATTATTATTATTATTAATTACTATTATTATTGTTTAGCCAATAGTCAGAAATTCTTCAGTGCTGTGAAGGCTGTCTTTTCGACGCCTGTGGTATTTGAAGCCATTGGAAATTACATATTGTATTAGATGCAAAGTTTAAATGTGACAACAGAGACAGAAATCTTTCTTTGCACCGGTGGATTGATAATATTATCCGTTGCGACTCTTCTTGTTTTTATTCACGTATCAAATACGTACCTGCTGCAAAAAAAAGGCTATTTTACTACTTTCACTTTTTCCACCGATCTTTCAATACATTTAACTAGGTGTAAAGTGCTTGTTGACAAGCGCGGAACTTGATGTCTCGTGTTAGATTAAGATTCGAGTGTTAAATCAAATCAAGAGGAACAGTAACGAGTATTATTACCAATGGAATTAAATATTTCCTCGAGGACAACGCATGTACTTATCACGCAACTAAAGATTTGTGTCCATTGTCAGTTTTGACTTTATACGTCGATATAGAATATGCAAATGTTCCCAAATTTTCAAATCGTTCAATTTTTCATTAAACACGAAATTGGAAGCAGCCTAGGCTTATCATTGTTCTCATCTACAATAACGCTTCTTTGAGAAAAGAAAGAAAAAGATTATTTTTATTTAACTCACGACACGAATGATGACTACCTCTTCATATTTGTATTAAGTTTTTATATTTTTACATTTTTAGTAACCACATACCTCAGAATAGACGCCCAGATAGCAATTTGAATGGAACGAATGAATGCATAAACAGATATTTTTTATTCGTGTAGTGTGTATAATTACACGTTAAGAAACTACGATGTAATACAACTTATTAAAAGTATCGTACCCATGTCCACACGTTATTAGCTCTTAGTTAAATATTACTATTGTATTTCTGCAAATTAGTTCATAATTCTGTCGTTTACCATGTGTTAGTTACTGCTGTCTCACAATTGAAAAATGTGGCTTTAAATCATGCATTGCTGTTTGGGTAAGACGAGTTTACGCTATCGTTTATTTATTGTTCTTCTTTCATCTCTGAGACCTCCTGCTGAACGTGTCGGTCTGATAATTTTGGAACAAGTCGTATTAGCCGCAAACACTATCATATGTTAATAAGAAAAAAGCTCTGTCGAAAAAGAAATAAGATAGCTCGAAATTAATTATCTCTGTATATATTTTGTATTATAGAATAAAGCATATAAAGCGTGACATATTAATTGCCTTTTTTAATTTTAAAAGGAAAAGGCATTTTCATAAATGTTGTAGGACAACATTTCCTTTGAAGGGAGTATTTAACGAAAATAATAGTTTTACAGTTTTACAAGAAACATGCCATTTTCATGCAAACGATAATATTTTAATGTTTTCCTTTCTGATGAAACATTTATTATCTTTTCTAATGAATTTAAATTAAGACCAAAGTCAAGACAAATTCATGGTATAATCCTTTTAACATTAATGTAAGTGCGTTGGATCTATCCAAGAACTCTATAATCATGTAGTAACATAAACGTGTAAGTTTATGAAGAGAATACATGTAAAATAAAATTACAGATAGCATACAAAATACAGAAGCATTTACACACAAGCACGTTTTTATTAATACAAGAATATAAAAACTCTGTATGCGCGCTTAAAACTTACTCGAATGTTAAAAAATATACTCTCGAGAAAAAATGATCATTGTTACTCCGCGAAAATGACATTAAGTATTATAAATGCTATATGTTCTCTTCGAAATTCCGCAACTTTTACTCTTCAAACATTTCTTTCTAAAATTGGCACTTTCCTAAAATATTAATGTCACGCTCTAAATGCTTCATTCTGTATATACATCGATTAACGACTCCATCTGTTACAAGACATTTATTAACAATTGTAATTAGTAAATATGATAATTACAGCGTTGTTTATATTTTTTTATGTTAAATATGTACAGTTACCAATTATGATTGGAAAATAACCTAATTTAATATCTACGTGATTTTTTGATCCAATAAATCATTGGAATAAAATTAAAAATTTTAAAGGAAAAATATGCGTTGTTAACACTGCCATTATAGCAGTTGGCAATTGTAAATTATGTAGAAAAATTTAATTGACTGTAAATATATCTTTATTATTAACAGATAATTGTTCCTTTCTAGAGAGCTAACATAGTACTATTTTTTATATATTATATTGGTTGAAACCCATGATGATATTACTTCTCTTATTTTGAAACTTTAGGGTTGCTATCAGATTACGAAATATTCGGAGAGTTGAAAATAATATAAGATCAATAGATATACTATTTTGTGAAATTCAGAAGTAGCATCTTGCGATTATTCATTCTTATTAAGATATACAATTATTACAAAATTTCAAGATCTTTGTGCGCTCGAAGAAAGAAAAAAAGAATAATATCATAATTCGTAACTCTCGAATGTTGTTATTCATGTATTATCAAACAACATATATATATATATATATATATATATATATATATAATATATTTGTTTGCTTTGTATAAATACAAAATGAAGAACGTTGCACAGTGACTAATAAAAATATTGCAACTATCTCGCAATCTATACCAATTTATGACTTGTGCTAAAACACAATATCTTTACGTATTAAAATCTTTGTGTTGAATTGTTTTGTACATTTTTGTAATGCATTAACATTACAACTTATTTTAATTTTGCAGTAAATAATTTTTGACAGTACTCTAACGTGGATTAGTTAAGATCATATTTGACGTGTTAGAAAAAATGTGATTGGTCATTTCCAATGGACTAAAACGATTAAGTTAATCAGAGCTTGGTCGAAGTGGCCCTAAATGCTTGCTTGCACTAACTTTTTCATAAATTAATGTTTCATTATTTTTACTTATAAAAATGCTAAATGAAATGACAGATACTCGGTATGCGCGCGAGATGTAACTTCAGTTGTGACTGCTCTTAATGTGACTAAGGTACAAATATAACATCTTATTTTCCATAAACGCAATGATATATTTATAATGAATGCAGCATTTTGGATTTTGTACGAATTCTTGTTTATGTACAAATAATAAGGCAAAGATATCGTTCTTTACAACTTTCTGCAGTCTACATCAAATTACATATTAACAGATAACTTCTGTTTAAGTTTTAATTAAATCGTGCTGATCAATATATTGTACGAACAATTATAGCAAGATATCTTTCATGTGTGTTTCTACAACATCATTAAAATTTCGAATGGTATCTTCAAATAGAAATTACAGTTCTTAAAAATACAGTTATAACTGATTCAAATTCTACGTTAGAGGAAATTTTTCTAGCATATAAACTTAATGCGCGTCTGATTTCAAAAACATATTATAAGCCTCCTCATTCATTAGGCTCTTAAGCTCATCTGGATCGCTTAATTCTATTTTGAATAGCCAACCATCTTTGTAACAAGATTTATTAATTAACCCGGGTTTATTTTCGACTGCCTCATTTTTCTCCGTAACTTTCCCGCTGACCGGGCTTATCAGTTCTGAAGCTGCCTTCACCGATTCCAAGGCTCCACATTCCTCTAAAAAAATCATAATTACATAAACTATGAAAAGCATTCAAATTTCCATTCTAAATTTTAAGATTATAGTGTTATATAGGGTGTTACAGATTTCTAAGTAAAAATAAGGAAAGGAAAATTAAGCTTAAATCAATAGATAATGATTAAGTTTACGTTTTATCAACACTTTAGTTTTTATTATCTAATTTTCCTTTCTGGATTGGATATCTTAGAGCCTCGTCATAAAATTAATTTTAAAAAATAAGAAAAAATGTACATCCTCAAATTAGAACACAACTGAGTTTTCTTCGATAAGAAATTCCAATTTATGTTTCTAGAGGTAATCTTTTTAAGGCTCCTGTAGTGCGATTCTGTAACTCGTTATGCTGTCGTTGTGCTCATAACGACAGTTGCGCGTGTACTATATGATAAAAAAAAGCTGCGCAACGACAATATAACGCAGCTTTTTTACCATATATAATACCTGCGCAACGATACCAAAACTGCTCGTTAAGGAGTTAGAGAATCCCCGTGCTGGGCTCTTTCCGACATCTTGTGAGATTGTGATGTCAGAGGCGAGAAATGACACCTTATTTTGTGTGCCATTCTCAAATAAAAAGACACTTCAATAAAAAATCACTACAGATTGTTTCAGAACACTTCTAAAATTGATCGAAAACTATATACTTTTCCCTCGACAATAAACTCGGAAATACTTAGCCGTAAAATGAATGTAATACGATGCAGGCTTATGTGCAAGCCCATGACTAGCTTTCGTATTACATTCATTTTATTGCTTGTCGAGGGAAAAGGATAGTTTTCGGTCAATTTTCGAAGTGTTCTGAAACGATCTATAGTAATTTTTTCGAAATGTCTTTATTTGAGAATGGCACACATGACAAAATATGACGCATAACGAGTTGCAGAATCGCACTACTGGTTGTTTCTGAAGTTTTTTTGAAATTTGGTCGCGCTAAGTAAGAAAGCATCATATCAACTATTATACCATCTTTTTTGATCGTGGATCCTACATCAGGAAGCTGCGCGTACACCACGTCCCCAAGCGCATCCTGCGCGTAATCCGATATACCGACTGTGCCGATTTTCCCATCTACCGTTATCCATTCATGTTTATCGGTGTACAATCGTTCTGAAAAATCACGCATTTATATCGTAAAACTACGACAGCAGTGTATTTAAGGGGTTAGTGTGTTTCAGGATAATTTTCAGGAATTAATTTCTAACAAAATATTTATGAAACACCAGTAATTTTTTTTTATTATCTTCTATACACATTGAAGAACGTGTCAAAATTTTGTTGCCTAACTAAATATAAAACTCGTCGAGTTAAGCCGC